GGCAGCTCGAAGCTGGGGCTCCCTGTTAGTGGGGAGCGTGCGATGGGCGCGCCCTTTCCAAGCTCCAGGGTGTGGGGAGGCTGGCTCCGTGACCGCGCACCCGCTCGCAATCTCCATCCTCCCCCCGAGGTCTTCCGAGGCCTCGAGGCGTCGCGGAGGCCACTCGGCGCCCTGCCGCACGCCTGCACACAGGGCGCCGCAGCCAACTCGGCCCCTGCCATGGCGCCTCGGCCAACGTGCCGGCCTGCTGCCGGGCCAGAGCAGGGCGAAGGCGGGGGCCCCGCCTCGCACGGCCACGGCCCGCGCCCCGCGAGGCCTCCCTGGCCGGGCCACGGCCCCAAAACAACAGCCCAGGAGGGCCTCAAGACGGCCCGTGACGACCCAGGAGGCCGTCCCAGAGGGCCCCGCCCCCCGTGCCGCCCCGATGCGCAAAGCGCGGCCCGTAGCGTGTTGACACGGGGTTCAACACGCGGGCTGAAAACGTGGGTCTTGCGCGATGCGCTCGCCTATTTAAGGGCCAACACGTGCCGAGCCAACGCGCAGCGCGTTGTTGCGTTTCAAGACGAGCGAATCAGGGCCCAAGAGTTTCCTCCTCCTCCTCCTCCTCCTCCTCCTCCTCCTCCTCGCCGGGGCGCGGGCGCGCGAGGGCCACCGGTCCTGCGGCTCCTGTGGGGGGCGGGGTCTGCGGCAGCAGGGAGGGGGGAGGAAAAGGGGGGGGGGGGAGGGAGAGAGGACCGGGTGGGAAGGGGAGGGGAGGGGAGGGGAAGGGAGGGAGGATGAGGAGGACGAGACTGGAAGGAGGAGGAGGAGGAGGAGGAGGAGGAGGAGGGAGGAGGAGGAGGAGGAGGAGGAGGAGGAAGAGGAGGAGGAGGAGGAGGAGGAGGAGGGGAGGGGGGGAAGCGCTAATAACTTGAGGCGAACTCGCCAGTCTTACTTCGGCCGCGCACTGACGCTGCAGTTGCAGCGTGATCGCAGTGCTGCACGACAGGCGGGCCACCGCCACAGAAGCGCACGTGCTGCGCTGAGCGCGGATGCAGGCGGCAACGACAAGTCGATGGCGGCGTCAGCAGGGTAGGCGGCTGCAGGGCCCATGGCCCACGTAGTACGCGCGCTGAGGAGTGGAGAAGGGTCGGGGGACCAGAGGAACCTCACGAGGACGGGGCTGGAGAGGTAGTGGGGGGATGAATCTGGCGCGCCCGTGCAATCGAAGACGCAGGGCCTCTGCGTGAGCACGTGCACGCGGTGAATAGTAGTCCACCCTCCCGAGACAGCTCGGACGGGCTTCGCCGGGAATTGAGCCGAGAGCGGACCAGCGGCTAGGGAACTGTACGTGCGGCAGCAGCTCGCGGATGCCCCGGGCATCGAAGCGCTTGCAGTGTTTAGTTGTGAATGGCGATGCAGACTCGCAGAGAGACGGAGCGATGGTTCGCTGCACCTTGGGACGGCGCGGCGGGTCAGCTGCGGGCGCACTCCGGATTTCACGGGCAGTAGCGCGGCTCGCTGCGGCCATGGTTGTTGCGGAAGACGGTGGGGAAGCTCTGGACGTGCGACAGGGCATGGTAGAGCTGCACTGTGGCCTTGGCCACTTCCCAGAAAAGGCGGAGACCAGAGACCCGCTTCTCACCGATGGATGGCATGCGCCGCTCGCGAAGGCTGTCGTGGTAGGGCCCCCAGCCACCGCGGAGCGTGCGGCAGCGGCTGCAGAGGTGACTTGAGCTGAGCGCATGACAGGAGGTGGGCCCCACTCCGCCATCGCGAACAAATCAATTTTGCGAAACGTGTTTGGCGGCAGGAAAAACATCTTGATCTACACATATATACATATAAATATATATGCGCACTCATATACAGATATGTATGCATGTATGTGTGTATGTGTGTATGTGTGTATGTGTGTATGTGTGTATGTGTGTATGTATGTATGTATGTATGTATGTATGTATGTATGTATGTATGTATGTATGTATGTGTACATATATAGTTGGCGACGAATGGTTTTGGCTTCGAGCGGAAAAAACGGAGCGACATAGCTGAGCGTGGAGGATCGAGGTAACGTAAAGACTGACAGCGGCGTCGCTGCCACTCTGCACAAGCTGCAAAAAGGTCTCCGCGTTGCCACCACTTTTGCCCTGGAGGAAGGTCCCGAAGTATTTGCCTCGCCCCGCCACCGATAAACCGCACCAGAGGGCAGAACGCGGCCAGGAGAGATTTTGTTTGGGCGTTGTCGGCCCGGGTCGCGGCGGCCCAAGAGCGGCGCCATTGCACACTCGCGGGGCTTGTGAGAGAAAGTCACAACCTCCTCAGCGGCAGAGAACGGCCCAGATGCCTCACGGAAAGCGTTCAACTCGTGCGCGAGCAGGCGACTGCCGTCCGCGCGGCCAGCGACGTAGCCTTTGTCACAATTCGGCGTGCCGCCGGCGTTCTCACGGAGGGACGCATCGCTCACGCCAGTTCGCTGGCTTGGCAGCCCTGAGCAACGCCGGATTCGACTGCAAACGTGAAGTGGCGCACTCCGTCCACCCTGACGAAGCTGCACGGCGCGTAGCACATCTGCTGGAAGAGGCCCATAGGGCCGATGGGCATGCCGAAGCGCTCGAGGGAACGGAAAAGCCAGATCCGCCCGAGCGAAGGGAAAGACGCCGCGAAGTCGATGCTCGCGAAGACGGGAAAGAGGCGGTCAGCGTCAGGCACGGCGTCGAGGCGAACAGTGCGCCCGGTGAAGTTGCGGCCGACGACGAAGCCCTGCTGCGCGAGATGGGCACGGTCTGAGACTGCGTTCTTGATGAGGGAGTTGGCGGCGCCTGCGATGGATTTGATGTCGGTGCTCTTTAGCGGGAGCGGCCTGGCGTCGTCAGGCGCTCGGTCAGTAGTGGGCCACCCCGCAAAGATACCACCCCTGAGCAGGAAGGCGAAGTCGGAGTCGTCGAGGTCGCTGCTGAATCGTTCGTTGGAACCAGAGGTGGATGGAGAGGTCCTCGAAGATGTCGAGCGAGTCAGGGGCCAGCCAAGCAGAGTTGGACAGCCTGCTGCGTCTCCTAGATCAGTAATATCACCTGCAGGGGTCAGCAACGCGGCCATGCCGCTGCAAAGCGGTCATGTCGCTGCGCCTGAATGGAGAAATGGCATGGCTATGGGCATGAGAAAAGAGGCTCGCCAGCTTGATCGTCCGAATGCAGCGTCACGTTCGCTGCAGGACGCTGGCCAACCGCGCGCATCATGGACGACGCGGCGCGCGCGGGTGAACTTCCGACGCAGCCGCTCGCCACGGGAAACCGCTCAAGTGGCTGCGCATGGAGAGGGCGCGCTAAGAGGCCCCGCCGCTGAAGCACGAACGTGCGAAGCGGTCGCACCGCTGAAGCACCTGCATTGCTATCGTCGGAACTACGTTCGAAAACTGCAAAGCAAAACGGCTGGCCCGCTGAGGAGGAGGAGGAGGAGGAGGAGGAGGAGGAGGAGGAGGAGGAGGGAGAGGAGGGGGAGGAAGATGAGGAGGAGAAGGGACTACGTTCTCCGGACTTTTGCGCAGACTGCTATTTATTCATCACTTTCCAAAATTATCACTATTTTCTAGTCTTGTTCACTATTGTTTACTATGTTCACTATTTTGTAATATGTTCTCGATTTCTATACCATGTTTTACTATTTTCTTAATGCGATACTATATGTTGATAACATACTATAATGTAGAAAAAAAAGACCTAGAATTCTAGATAGGCAGGCCACGCATGACAGCGCCGATGCTGATCATGTACAGGAGCGGGTTCGAGGATGATCCGGGGAACCGAGAGCGATCACACGCCTGCGCGGGCTCCCCGCCCGGGTACCAGTCCGGCGACGTCGGCTACCTTACCGGAGGCGCCCTCGCCGGATAAGCCGAGGGAGCCGCCCCGTCGTCCAGTATCACCTTCGGGGCCGTCGCGTTGTCGCCGACGTCCTCGTCCTTCTGCAAGATGAATGCCACGTCCTTCTCCTCATTCTTCTCCTCGCCGCGGTCCTCGTTCTTCTCCTCGTCCTTTTCCTTTTTCAATGTGACAGGCTCCTCGTGAATCTCCGCAATCTTCTTCTGGAGCGAGAGACGCAGGCGGCTCCCCGAGGACGACGGTGTCAGCAGCTTCATGGGACATGGTGCCCTCGAGTCTGGTCCTGCCGTTGGGAGAGGTGCGCCGGGCGCCCTCGTCAGCACCTCGATCGGCATCGTCACAGTCCTCAGCCATCAAGAGCGGCAGCTCGGCCGTTGACGAATCTGATGACGGTGGCGTCCACGGTCGCGGGACGACCGGCGGCGGCGCCCGCGGGCGCAGAGTGGCCTTCGGGCGTTCCTTCTTCAGGCCTTTGGAGTCCGACTGCTGGGCCTCGTCCTCGAGGCTCACGAGGCCCACCGCCCGCAGCGCTTGGCGCTCCGCCAGGGCGATCTGCTCCGCGACCACCAACGTTCGCGGCCCAACGGAGTTGCATGGCATCGCGCTGAGGGGGGAAAGAGGAGGGGACCGTCGCGGAAAGGAAGGGAGAGCGAGCCCTGGGCGGGGTGGGGCTATCGGGCCCCCATCGGAAAGCAATGGGCGTTTGGGGATCGATGCATCCACCCCAGAATCCATCCGCGTTGCCCCTCCACCCCTCCCTCCCCGTCGACGTCGGCGTGGTCGTCGTCGTCGTGGTCGCAGTCGTGGTCATGGTCGTTGTCGTGGTCATGTTCGTCGTGGTCGTCGTCGTTCCCTGCACCACGCAGTCCGATCCCAGACCCCCGACGTCATGATTTTTCATGACGTCGACCCCCTAAAGTTTAAAGGTTTCAATCCATTCCCAAGGACCGGTTCTTCACCCTGAGCCGTTTGCGACGGCCCCGAGGCCCGGCGAGGGCCCCCCGAGGCCCGGCGAGGCCCGGCGAGGGCCCCGAGGCCCGGCGAGGGCCCCCCGTTTGGAGGCCGGAGAGCTAGGGACACACTCCGTCGTGATACTCTCAGGGCTCGAGGGGGTCTGGGCCCCCGGCCCCTTCGCGCGACGGGGCGGCTCCTGCGGGCCGGAGGCGCCCAGCGCCTGGCCGCCCAGGGGCCCCAGCGGGTCGGCGCCGAGGCCGTCCTGCGCGGCGGGAGGGTCGCAGACCGGACTGGCCAGAGGACACCGGACGCGATCGGACAGCGCCTGCGTGCGGGTCTCGCCCTGAACGGTGTTTTCCGTTTTCGGTTGGTTACCGCTTTCACCTGGTGCTTCGTTCCGCCGCTGCCGCGAGGCGAAAGCAAAACGAGAACGGTCCACGAGATCGCTGGAACACTGTTCAGGTCGAACCCTGCTTGCACATTGCTTCGCGCATCTGCACACGCCTTCGGTACCAGACGCAGAACGCAGCGCGTGGCGTGTTGGCACGGAGCTCAACACGGAGATGGAGCACGTGCGTTTGGCGCGATACGTTCGCCCAAACGTGAGCGAGGCGGGGATTTATCCATATCCACCGCCCGGCAAACGACGTCATGGTGCCCCAGCGGGCCCGAATATGTCCACATCCACCGCCTGCCGAGGTACCCAAAAATTGATCCTCCAGTCGTGGTCATGTACAGCTTCCCGCCTCGGAGCGCGGGCCAACACGTTGAGCCAACACGCAGCGTGACGCAGACGTTTGTCAGCACGGTACGTGTTGCATGTTCAGACGGGCGTATCAGGGTAGCTAAATATCGGTGGCTCCATGCGCTGCGCTGCAAAAGATGCGAGGACCGTGGAGGGGAGAGGGAGGAGGCCCTGGAGCTCCGACGACATGTGATCTGTTCAGCTGACTGTCGTTCCTCGAGTTCGGCCCCGCGGGGGCCGTTGTCGGGCCGCGGGGCCATCAGAGATGGACCCGAGACGAAAAACTGCCCCCAGGGGAAAGGGTCGGGATCCTGGGGCCGCGCATTGTAACACAACTAATCTGGAGGTGGAGGCCCAAGTGGAGATGGAGGGGGGAAGGCAGGATGAGATGGAGTTGGAGGCGAAGTTGAAGGGGGGGAAGGGCAGAAAAGCAAAGCAAAAAAACTATCGGACACAAAGCCTCCCTGAACTACTCGACGAAACAACGATTTTGATTTAAGTGGCTAATGAAAGCGACTTCCCACTGAGAGGGGGCCCTGTAGGCGCAAAAGCCTGGGGACGGCCCCCATGGGGCGTCTCCTGGCACCAGCCCTTCCACTCAGGGAGGAGGATGTGGATTTTGTGCTGGGGGGGGGGAAGAGCAGGGAGGCGGCCCCGAGAGCCCCGCGCGAGGATTTGCAGGCGCCTCCTGGCCGCAGCCAGGCTGCGCCTCCTGCACCGCCCTGTATGGCGGCTGGGTGGGGAGGCGAAGGAAGGAGGAACCCGTCCATCATGCTGGTTCCCTCCGGCCTGCGGGCCGCAGCCCCGGACCCAAACCGAGGGGGAAACAAAACTGCGACTTGCCGCTCACGGCCGACTTCGCGCTGCCAGGGCGGCGGGCAAATGCAAGGTCACGGCGCAGTGCAAACAGGAGGAGGGGGAGGAGGAGGAGGAGGAGGAGGAGGAGGAGGAGGAGGAGAAGGAGGAGGAGGAGGGGGAGGAGGAACAAGAGGAGGAACAAAGGGTGGCCCCCAACAACAACCAGGCGCAGCATAGGACAGGCAAGCAATCCCACTCCTGGGCATGCAGCGGCAAAGAAGGAAGAAAAAGGAAGGCCACGCAACCGAGCAAACGACGGCGAGCGAGCGCGCCGGCGCACCGGCGGGAGGTCAGGTCTGGTCGGACGAGGCCAGCAGGAAGGGACCCTGGGGGGTGACAGCAGGCGGGGAAAGGGGGATGGGCAGGGGCCGCCGAGGCAGGGCGAGCCGCCGGAGGGCACCGACCCCGCCGCCTTGGGCTGGATGTGTGCACGGGGCCCCAGCCGACCGACCAGATCGGCAGGGACCAGGAGGTGGCGGCGTGCTGGGCCCGAAGTGCAGTCTGCGTCGTCTGGGCCGCCCGCTGAGCAAAGCCAATTCGGCGCACGGTACGCTTGACTACCATCCATACGCGGTGTTCGCTGTACTCGAGTTGCCATTGGCCCCATCAATTCTGCCTGCCTTGACCTGCCGCATGGCGGATGCGTGCTGCATCTGGCCAGGGGGGCATAATCCTCCCATCTCTTCCGTCCTCGCCCTTCTCATTTTTCCTCCACCCTACCCATATCCAGTTCACCTCCCGTGCCAGGCCTGAACGGGGCGTTGGTGCGGCGTCTAAACAAATGCATATGTTCCTGGAATGATCACCCCCATCCTTTCACTCCCATCGTTCATCTAGGAAACGTCGGAATGACTCCACACGCCCCTGGAATGCTAAGGCGGGGATAAGAGAGGGGGGGTAACATCATCATCCCCGTCTTCCTCCTCATCTTCGTCCTCATCCTCCTCCTCATCATCCGTATGCTCATCATCATCATCATCATCATCATCATCACCACCACCACCACCACCACCACCATCATCATCATCATCATCATCATCATCATCATCATCATCATCATCATCATCATCGCCATCAACATCATCATCATCATCATCCTCCTCCTCCTCCTCATCATCATCATCATCATTGTCATATCATCATCCTCATTTTAGGGCTGCGCGGGCCTGAAGCTCATCCTCATCATCCTCCTTGTTATCCTCCTCCTCCTTCTCCTCCTCCCTCCTGCCTCCCGACTTCCTGCTCTGTTTTCTCGTTGTGTTCCTCTCTTCGTTTTTTATATTCCCCCCTTCCCCACTATCTCTCTATCTCTCTCTCTCTATCTCTCTCTCCTCTCTCTTTCTCTCTCCCTCTCTCTATCTCTCTCATATTCTCCCGCTCAGCGCCAGCGAGGGGTCGCCGGGCGGAGGCCGCGGCCGACGCGCGCGGCGGGGCCCAAAAGGGGCCGTCCGAAGAAGAGACCATGTAAACCATGATTGCCAGCGTGGCTTCCTGAATCAGGGCAGGAGCATTGTGGAAATCCCGTGAGGCCTAGTCGAGATGCTCCCCCAGAGAATTGTGAGCAAGGGGGGCAGCCTTGTGCCGCCTTTCTATGGCCGCTCATTAGCAAAGCGACCCTGTTCAAAACACAAATGAGCGACAAAAACAAACGGATCTCACGCTAGAAGACATTGCAAACCCACGCCAAGACTGATGTGGGCCGCCAGCGCGGCACGCTACATTGGCCACATTTGGGCCTCCTGGGGAGGTGCCCTGATTAATGTCCCAAGGCGGCCCCAAGAGGTGCCCAGGAGGCCCCAAGGGGCCACCAAGATGCTCCCAAGAGATCCCCAAGAGGCTCCAAGAGGCCCCCGGATGCACCCAACACGCCTAAAGAGGCCGCCAGGACTGCCAAGAAACCCCAAGACGCCCCAAGAGGATCCCAATAATCTCTCGAAAGAAATCCGAAGAGACTTCGAGAGGCATCCAAGAGGCCCCTGGCCGTTCTGCTCGCCCTCCTCCTGCTCCGCCTCCTCCTCCTTCTCTTCCTCTTCCTCTTCCTCATCGGCCTGTTCCCCCGTCTCCCTCCTCCCCCTCCCCTTCTCCGTACTCCTCCTCCTCCTCCTCCTGCTCCTCCTGCTCCTCCTCCTCCTCCTCCTCGAGGCCCCCATGAGGCCCCAAGCGTCTAGACTATTCACCACTGATGACGACGCGCTAAAGAAGCATAGTCGGGCGGGCGAGCGGGACATGGGATGCAACTGGCACTCGGTGATGGGACGGCGTCGAGGATCGTAAGGAGTGTCTCCGGGCGCCTGGGGAAATCTTTGGGGAGCGTCGTGGGGGCTTCCTGGGGCTTCCTGGGGGGTTCGTTGAGGCCTCTTGGGAGCCGCTTGGGCCCCTTGGGGGCCTCACGAGCCTCCACGTATGTTAATGTAAATGGAAATGTAGATGTAAATGTATATGTTTAGGTATATGCTTATGTATTCGTACACGTACATATGCATGTGCATGTGTAAACGCATATGTAAATGCGTGCGTATGTGAATATGTATACATATAAGTACAGGCATATGGATATGAGCATGTACATGTGTATGGTTGTGTGTGTATGTATGGAGGCACGTACGTACGTACGTCTGTGTGTACGTAGGTATGTACATATGCATGTTTGTGTGCGCGTATGTATGTGTGTATGCATGTATGCGTGTGTGCATGTTTACATGTATGCATGTATGCATATGTGTATGCATGCATGTACGTATGCGTAGGTGAATGGATGGATGTATTGATGTGTATGTAAAAGGTGTGTATGGCTGTGCAGGTACGTATGCATGCATGAAAGCATGTAAGTGCACATGTACGTATGTGCGTGCGTATGTGTGTACGCATACGTGCATACATGTATGTATGTATGTGTTTAAGATTGTGTGCATGTAGGTGTGAATGTAGGTAAGCGTGCCTATGTGCGTGTATGCGTGTATATGTGTGCATCGCCGTGCGTACGTACGTCCGTGCGTTTGCTTGTATGCATGTGCGTATATCGGTGTGCGTGTATATATACATATATATAATACATATATAAAGATACACGTATGTGAGTATGAAGTTGTGTAGGCGTGTATGTACGTATTCATGTATGTATGGTTGTCGGTTTTGTGTGTGGATGTATGACTGTAAGAGTATGTGTGCATGCATGCACGCACGCATGCGTGAATGTATGCATGCATGTGTGTATACAGGTGTGTAGGTATATATGGTTATGTGTGTATGGATGGATACATGGATGTGTGGATATGTGCAGGTGTAGATGTAGGTATGTGTGAATGTATGTATGCACGTATGTATGTATACATGCATGCATGCATGTACGCATGTATGTATGTAGATATGCATGTATGTATGTATGTATGTATGTGTGTATGGATGTATGTATGCATGTATGCATGCATGTATGTATGTATGTGTGTATGTATGCATGTATGGATGTATGTTTTATGTATGTATGTATGTATGTATGTATGTATGTACGTTTGCATGCATGCATGCATGCATGCATGCATGCATGCATGCATGCATGCATGCATACATGTATGTATGTATGTATGTATGTATGTATGTATGTATGTATGTATGTATGTATGTATATATGCACGGATAGGTAGGTAGGTAGGTAGGTGTCTCTCCCTGTCTCTCTCTCTACCCTCTCCCTCTCCCACTCCCTCTCCCTGTCCCGCCTTGAACTCTCCTCGACTCCCAACCCTATACCCTTCTCATCCACTCTTTCCAACCATCGCCAGACCTCCACTGACTTCCAGTCCGCTCGCATCCTTTACCGTGCCCTCGCATCGCCACTTCCACTCGTACTACTCTGTCGGACCAAAGCTCCACAATCCAAGGCAATACGGATCCTCGTGGAATCTTGTCGGTACTCCCCTGGATCTGCTCCCCTGGATCTCCTGCTCCCGGAGCTGTCATGAGGCATGAAGATCAAGGCAAGCAACAACAGCAGACAGAGGGCACGGTTAACCGTGCCATCAGGGGGAATGGAAGATCAACCACTCCACAATCATGTAACACAAGACCTGGATCGACTCGAGCGCTGCTGCGGAATAAGCTGCGGAATAAAGTGATACAAGCCTTTGTATGCATACATATGGATAGGGGGAGGGACAAAGAGGGAGAGAGACAGAGAGACAGAGAGGGAGAGCGAGAGAGGGATAGAAAGAGAGAGAGAGAGACCGAGAGAGAACATAATAGAAAGAGAGAGGGATAGAGAGAGAGAGAGAGAAATACAGAAAAAGGAAGCGAGAGGGAGCCCTCTGGGCGTAGATGGGTATATCTATATATGTACATAGAGAGAGAGAGAGAGAGAGAACAACAAACAATTAACAACATGATCGTCAAGGGTTCCGCGCGATGGAACCCAGAGACTGGAAAGGCAATGATTGCGGCAATAACGGTGGCGTACGGTGGGAAGGCGAATGCGACGGCGACAATAGAGCGACATAAGAACGGGCGATCATGCTGGAACTTGGCGTGTCTACAGCGGGGAGGGAGGGGGGGAAAGACAGAGAGAGAGAGAGAAACAAAAAACATAAAGAGAGAGAGAGAGAGAGAGAGAGAAGAGCTAGAGAGACGTAGAGAAGGGGGAATTGATACATCTATATATATATATATATATATTCATAGAGAGAGAGAGAGCGAGAGAGAGAGAGAGAGCGCGAGACAGCGAGAAAGAGAGCAGGGAGAAAGAGAAAGAGAGAGAGAGAGATAAACAAACAAAACAAACAACAAAAACAATATAACATAGCATGAACATTCCCCGTGAAATCGGTCTCAAGATCTCTGACGGTGCCCAGCGTGGCCAGTTCCTCATCTCGGATCGACCCTCGACGGCCCCGTGAGCTGAGACGAGCCCCCCAGAAGCCTAAGGGTGCAGACAACGAGTTCTCTAGAGAGCAGGGGAGGAAAGCGGAGGGGAGACGCTTCAAGTGCTCCAGAGAAGGGAGGGGAGACAACTCAACCCTCCTCCATCGACAGACAGGCCGATCCAGACATACGACGCCGGACCCGACATCGGCAGACCCCCCTGGCTTTGGACCAAATTTGGAACTTATTTGGGACCGGATTTAGACCGGATTCGCCCCTGCACCAGGAAGACGTTAAGAACGAGGAGGGGGAGGGGCACCCAGAAGGGGCGGTGATGAGCAGGAGGGAGCGCCAAATGCGGTCCAAAAGCGGTCCAAATGCAGAACAAACTGATTTCAATGTCACCGTTCAAGGCTACCATGAACGGACATCCAACCAACGCCGATCCAAGAAACCCGCTCGGACCTCCGCATATGCTCTTCCTCTTCGCAGACAAAGACGCCTCAAACGCATCGGAGATAAGGAACAAACGTATAACGATAATGCTACTCCCCGGTCACCTTCAGCGGCGCGCACTGACCAGGATTCAGATGCGACTCCAGCCGTGGCGACGAGAACTGGTTGGGGGCGGGTGGCGGTACGGGGAGGGGAAGCATACAAAATCCTCCCTCCTCTGAACAGGGGGAGGGGAGGCATATGGAATACAGGGAGGGGAGACATGCCAAATCCCCCCTCCCCTGAAGAGAAGGAGGGGAGGCATACCAAATTCTCACTCCTCCCTCCTCGGAATAGGGGGAGGGGAGACATACCAAATCCTCCCTCCTCCTCTGCAGAGGGGGAATGGAAGGTGTACCAAAAGTCCTCCATCGACACAGCGGAGGCCCCGAGACGGGCCTCTGAAGGCCCACGGTGTGGAAAGCAGACTCTCCAGAGCAGGTGGGCGTGGGGGGGGAGGGGAGGAGGGACACCTCAGATCGGCGGCGAGCAAGGGGGGAAGCGAGAAGGAGAATGCCTTCTCAGAAGACGGCGTGGATTCTCAGAAAGCCTCCAGAGGGGTCTGTGTCTTCGTAGAAGGCCTAGAAAACTTCTCAGAATGCCAGGGAACCTCCGAGCCTTCTGAGAAGGCCTTCTCCTTCTCACTTGCCCTCCTCGCCTGCCGCCGATCAGAGTCTTCCATCGACAGACAGACAGCCCCAGACATCCGAAGCCGTTTACTCAACACGTGCCTCCCGAACCGTTTTTTGACGGCCCCAGGGCCCGGCACAGGCACCGAGTAGCCGGAAGCTGCCAGAACCTTCCGTCGTGATGTTTCTGAGGGGGGCAACATGGGGACCAGCTCAGGGGGGGCAACCTTGAGCTGGAATCGGCGATATGTCGCCGATAGATCGGCGATATGCCCCCGATCGCGAAACCGGACGTGCCTGGTGTGGAATTGGACTCATTACCAGCGGCGATCAATGGGTGATTGGGGGTGGATGCAGCCCCTGTGAGCATATCGCCCCCTAGAGATGCCCCCCTGCTTTGGAGTCATAACTGGGTCCTCTGGCGGCCAGCCGAGAGGATCCTGGCACCTCCAGAACGCTCTCGGCGAGGCGCACCTGCTGGAGAGCATCCCAAGGCCGCAAACACCGCCGAGAACCGACGAAATTGCCCACAAACCTCGAGCCACGAAAGCCCCACAAACGATGTTCCTGAATGCCCCTTCTTTAAGAGCCGGACTTGTTGGTCTGGTGCAGATGGGTCCGCGGGGAGAGGTGCCAGAGGACTTGCGCTTGTTGTTGCCTGGCTGAAGTAGTTTGCGCGATGGGTGCAATCGTTGCGCATGGATGCGTTAGCGCATGCCTCTCATGTGCAACCGCCGTCGCCCGTGCAGCAATTCGCGCCCCTTCGCAATAGATGCGTGCAATCGCACGGTATAATACAATGAATGAACGATTGCACCTTTTGCAGGAGGAGCCCAGAATCGAATCGACAAGTCGGATCGGCAATCGAAATTCATCGGATCGGCTGAAAACGGCAGCCGAGTCGGGAAAAAACGAATCGGCGGAAATCGGCAGGCTGGTAGGACCCCTTGGGACATCTGAATCCAAATCGGAATCCGAAGCCGAATCGAATCGGAATAGGAAGCCATCGAAACCGAATCGAACGGAACCGAAGGAATCGAAATGAACCCTGCTCTCGCCGGCGAACCACCTGCGCCAGACCCCCCTCTCCGGTTTAGACCTTCCCCCTTCCTAGAAGCCTCCTAGATGGGGTCGGAGCAGATGGGGTCGAAGGATCGCGCCGCATCGGCGATGCATCGGCAATGCATCGGCAATGCTCTTGCGACGTCGAATTTTTGCATCGGCGACGTCTGCGTGGTGAAAACTGGGCCAAACGTCGAGCCGCATCGGCGATGCATCGGCGACGCGGCGCGATCCTCCGACCCCGTCCAGGAGGACCGGACCCCCGCTCTCCGCCGAGCCACGACGCTGCTTCACAGCGCGAGGACGTCTGGGCCAAAACCCCGGGCGGCCGGCGCGCGCCTGGCGCTGCAGGCGGGGGGGGGGGGCGGGCAACCCGCCTGCAGCGCCGTGCGGAGCCGGGCCGCCTGCCTGTTGAGGCGCTGGTTCTCCTGCCGGGCCTCGTCGACCTCCAGGATCAGCTCCTCGGCTCGGCGATGGTCGGCGGCGAGCGGGGGGAGGGGGGGGGAAGTGAGGGAAAGAGGCGGCCTTCTCACAAGGCGGCGGGGCTCCTCAGAAGCCCCCCTGCCTTCTGAGAGCTATTCTGCGCCCTCGGGGATGGCTCAGAGAACTTCTCGCACGGGCGGGGGGCGTCCGAGCCGGGCTCGGCCGACCTCCAGGATGAGCTCCTCGCTGGGCGTCGCTTGGGGGGCGGTCAATGGGGAGGGGGGGCAAGGTGCACTTTCCGGACCCTAGAGACCCCCCCTTGGGCCATAGCCGGGAGCGGCAAAGAGGGGGGTGTCCAAGAGAGGGGGGTGCAAATCATGACCGGCGGCATGTGCGCGGCCCAGCGGGGGGGCCAGGAACGTAATGAAATAAGAAGAGGCGCCATGAAATCTGGGGAAATATCATGGCCCCCGCCATGATATCCCTCCCCCCCTAGTCATCAACCCCCTCTTTGCCGCCCCCGAGATAGAGGGCCCCTGCACGGACCCTTTTGGTCCCCTTTTCTGCAGCCCTCGCGTCCCCCCCATTGACCGCTCCCCCGATACGCGACGCCCAACCTCGGCTCGGGTATGGGCAGCAGAGACCATCGCCGCCGACAACCCACCGGGGGAGGCCGACCCCTGGGCGGTGGCACGCGCGGCGGCGGTTTGACTCTTCTTTTCGGACGGAAGTATCGAAGATGGCCCCCACCCAGGTAGTCCTGGCTGGCCTGGACAAGCCCCCCCGAACACGCCATGGTGGTGCCAACACTCCAGGGTTGGGGTGTTGAGGGTGGTGGTGGTGGTGGTGAAGAGGAGGAGGAGGAGGAGGAGGAGGAGGAGGAGAAAGGATAATGAGAACGGAGAATGCGGCGATGGCACGTTTCTTAGTCAGTGGGCGCAAGCGAACCGAAGCAAGTGCAGGCGCCGTTCGGGCAACCTGCGGGACTCGCCGGGAGCAAATCGGGCACGAAACAAACGGTGACGAAAACATGCACGGCGAAGCAAACGAAGACAACGACGACGAGAACGACAACAACAACACCGACACCAGGGACAACAACGACGACGACGACGACGACGATCCGTGACGGTGGGTGGAATCGCCGCGCTCCTCGAGGCGCCTGCTCTGCTCCGCACCGGCCGGGTCAGGGCACCCGGGGCAGACCTGGGTGGGGAGGGGGGCGGCCTCCCGCCCCCGCCTGTTCCGCCTCCGCCGCGTGATCATGCTGCTCCTGCTTCCGTGCCGCAGCGCACATGGGGAAAACAGTGAGCTCCTCCTCCCCCTCCTCCTCCTCCTCCTCCTCCTCCTCCTCCTCCTCCTCCTCCTGTTCCTGTTCCTGTTCCTCCTCCTGTTCCTGTTCCTGTTCCTCCTCCTCCTCCTCCTCCTCCTACATCCTCCTCCTGGGCAAAACATTGCGCGCAACTGATCCAGGCGCGCGCAACACAGACATGAAACAAACATACAACACAGCGTAACCTGGGCCGAATCGCGCACGTGCAACGCTGCATTATTGCCAACATGCCTGTACTCACCCCGCCCAAGCCTGTCCCTGATGTTTTGACCGCCCAAGCATCCCTCTTGGGCTTGCGTGGCTGAGCTAGGGTGCGATTCGATCAGTGCCAATGGCCTGACACGCGCGGCAATAGTTACGCAAGCAAGACATCTTCAGACAAGGTGAACCTGACCAGGAAGTGCGGCCTGAGCCCCGCCTCCTGGCAGCCGCGGGAGAGCTCGACCGCGCGCTCAAGGAGGGAGGGTGGACTGCCCTGCACGGCCTGGAGCACAGGTCGGGGAGGGCGATCCCTTTTAACCTGCGACGGGTGGAAAGTGCCGTCGCCCCCCCCAACCTGGGCAACCCAGCTGATCCACAACCTAAGGATCTGCAGGCGGCGACGGGGCAGGTCCCGATGGCCCTGAGGAAGCCTCCCCGCCTGCGCTGCCCACCGAGCGAAACGATCGGCAACGATGTTGCTTGCATTAAGCCGTGGCGTGGTACGACGCATCTGGAAACCGCAAGGCCGCGGATGCGCTGTCACCTTCACGACCAAGCGCGAAAGATCGTCATCGCCGCGGTCCTCGCGGAGCCTCCAGACCTCACGCCAAACGATAGCGTGAGAAGAAAAACAGTGGCAACATTCAAACTTGCCTCGCACGCAAACACCTCTCCACACGAAGTTGCTGTCAGTGTGAATGATGCTGCCAGGCATGGCGTGTCTCAATGCAAACGAAAAAGCAGTGAGCTCCTCCTCTTCCTCCTCCTCCTCCTCCTCCTCCTCCTCCTCCTCCTCCTACTTCTCCTCCCACAGTTCCTCCTCCTTCTCCTCCTCCATGTTCTCCTCATTATCCTCCATGTTCTCCTCCTGCGCAGCCCCCGCCTCCTCCTCCTCCTCCTCCTCCTCCTCCTCGTCGTCGTCGTCCTCCTCCGACTCCGCCTATGCCTCCTCCACTTCCTCCGCCTACCCCCTTGCGCTCCTCCTCCTTGTTTTCTTCTGACTCCCGCTTCGTGTTCCTTCTGCGAATGCGGCTGCCGAGGTGGAGGCTTGAGTGGGATATAATGATAGAGAGTCTGCAGGAATAGGATTGGTCATGATACGAAGGGATGGCAGCGAGGAAGAATGAGGAGACGCGCGTAGTGAGAAGGAAATGAAGAACCTTACTCCTATTATCGAAGACGATGTTGGCGAGTCACCGCCGCCCCCTGCCTTTGGAACAAGCTCGTGGCCGAATGTTGCGGAAACGCAACGTACGTGTTGCCGATAACCCATGGAAAACTCCCTTGACCGCGAATCAATTCATAGGGCCCGCTTGGGCCGTCCTTGGGCTGTCTGTCTCGAGGCCCTTCAGGTCGTCTTGGGCCTCTTGTGGGTCTTCTGGGGCTCTCCGGGGACGTCTTGTGGGACTCTTGGGCCGCCTGGGGCTCCCGTGGGCCGCCTGAAGCCCCTGAAAGCCGTCTTGGGGATCTCTGCGGGCCGTCCCCGAGCCCTCTTGGCGCCCCCCTGGGCCGTCAGTGGGCCTTCTTGGGCCGCTCTGGGTCCCTCTTAGGACCAACTCCTGGGCCGTCTCCAGCGCTCTCAAGGCGGCAATGCTTGAAGACTAGGAGAACCACACTGTGCCCGGCAAATTTGGCCTCACAGGGGCCTCGTGGGAGCTCTCGTGGACTGCTCTTCGAACGTCTCGGGAGCCTCTGGAGCAGCAATGGAGCTTTGATGGCCTGTGCCCAGATAGGCCGACGTCTGAGCATCTTCGGACGTCGGGGATGGGGAGCCCACGGAGGACGTACGTGCCCAACCACGTACATGCATAATTACGGCCCCTCCGTCCGCGAGATCAGCCTCGCGATACGAACGTTCGCGCAATGCGTATACTCAAAACCAACGTGGATTCATGCAACACGTGCACGACCTTCTTTCGCTCCTCATGAGCATGAGGGGCCCTGGTCCGGAGGCCCCCGTCCCCCGCACTGCTGTCGAGGTCCATGCCTGGGGCCCCTGCCCCCGCTCTCCCATAACTCTTACAGGCTCGAAGCAGTCCCCTCACATCCTTTCTTGCACTAAGGCAAAGCCAAGATGAGGATGACTTCGGACGAGGATAACTCAAACATCTCTGAGATCCAGCGGCTCTGGAGGATGTCTCGGGCGCCGCAGCCTTCTCAGAGCGCCCACGAGATAGAATAATCCTCGATCTGGCCCCGCTCGACAGACCCCTCCTGGAATCCATCCGGGCCAGCCTCTCATCCCGGATCGGTGTCTGACGGCCCCAGGCCCCCGAAGACTGGTCCTCGATCTGTTTTCCGCAGTGCGCTCCCAAACCTCCGACGGCATGATTTGCTCACATGCGCGGCCCCAGAGGTCCCGACCGCTCGGAAACAACCCCCAGAGGCCGACACCGACTGGTTCCTCCCAAAACGACCCAAACCCTTCCCAGACCCTCGCGGAACCCTCCAAAAACTCTCGCAAAACCCTTCCCGGAGGGTTCTCGCATGGTTTCGGGAGGGTTTCGGCCGATTTGACAGGAAACCACGCCCCAGCGGGCCTTGGACGTTCTATCGACATAGAAAGGAAAACAACTCGTCGGAGGTCTGCGGTCCTCGGTCTGGTCTCAATCAGCGCGCCCATCGCTCGTGGGTGAGAGGCAGCGTGGCCGCCGCGAGGGGCACGCAGCCAGCTTCCCCGGCGCCCGAAGACCGCCAGCTCGCCGACGCGGTCCCAGCAGTGCTGCACCAGCGCCTGGCCCATGGCCAGCATGGGGTGCGGCTCTGCGCCCTCTGGCGGGGAAGCAAGGAAAAAGGGGTCCTCCTCTCCTGCTCCTGCTGCACCTGCACCTCAGAAGGCAACGCCTGGGAGGCCTTCGCAAAAACGATAGAAAGGGCTGTCAAAACCGATTAGTGCACCACCAAACCGGATCAGACGGAACCTAGAAGTCAGCCAGATGAATTTGGAATAGCACAGATCAAACGGGACTATGCCAGGTTGGGCCTAGTTTCGACAATAAATATGCCGGCGCCGATGCTGCATCTCACCTCCCACGAGTTTCATCCTGAAGGGTGGGGGGGGGGTCCTCCTCCCCCTCCTGCTCCTCCTCCTGCTGTAAGGTTCTGCACCCGAAAAGGGGCGAAAAAACGCGAAGATCGTCGTCGACCGCCGTCCGCTGTCCCACTCTGGGTTCAGTGACGTTCCAATCCGAGCTGCCTGCCAAACCAGCGCTGCAAACCGCCGAGAACATCGCAGCGCTTCGCGAGTTTAGTCATTGCTTCGGGGGGTGATGGGAATGGAAAGTAAAGGCAAAAGGCTTGACCGTGAGGTAATAAGATGATAACCCGATTCTTCGGATAGCGTCGGCGACGTATCGAAGTATCCCACAACTCATCCTTTGATGGCAAGCAAGACGGGAGGTAAGAGAGAAGCCATGGGACGGAGAGGTGGATCACATATACACGTGGCATTTGTCTGATACTATGATCCCAGTCGAGGCGCACAGAGTCGTGTGCACCCTGCAAATAGGACAGCGCTGCCTTGAGCCAAGACAGCGTCGGATATAGCGTTCGCTATACAGCCCCCCACTGAATCTCGTTTAAAGTCGGGAAGGGGAGGGGCCGAACGCTAGATCCAAGTCCTGATGCATTAAATGAACAAAAAACTGGATAGGGATATTGTTCTTAACGCCCCTAGCAGCATACAACAACAAAACACAGAAAGGGCAGCGCAGAGTACCACGGCCGGTCATGGCGCATTGCCGCGACCAACGGCAGACGATTATGGGCAGTCGCAGGCAAGACCGCGTGACTACCCACAGACAATTAAGGGGGGCATCCAGTCAGTGGGCCGGACGTTGAAGTGTGCAGCGCGTGAGGGGGCACGACCGCGCGGTCAAATTCCCTCGAGAACTGAAAGAGAATAGTGCCCGTGCCCGGGCACTCACGGTAGCTGCGGAGCCACGAGCGCACGCGCCCGTGGCCGCGCGGGGATGACCGCTAGTAGGTATACATGCCCGCGTTCGGGCAAAGAAAACTACTTGACTGTGTTTGAATAGTCGTCCTCATTGAAATCCGCTGGCTCCGAATAGGGCCCCCCCGTTGGCGCTGTGTCTTTCTTGCTTTCGAGAGGGCATGTATTTCTTCACTTCGCACTCGGAAGACTGATTGCCCTCCATTACTTGCAGCAACAAAGCGCGATCGATACACCCCTCGGTAGGACCGTCAGCGGACATGTCCCGCGTTTCACACCACTGCGCGCGATGAACTATACCTCGATTAATCATCCAGCTGATGTGTCCTAACAGGGCTCACTCGGTCGGCTTCTCCAAGTCCTTACTTGACGAGGGCACAGCGACCGACTCGGCGCCCGCGGTAAGGATGTCCTTAATGCTGGGACCACCCAAGCCCAGAATGTTCTTAAGTTGAGTGGGCGTTAAGAGGTCCAGCCTGCGGCTGCCAGCGTCTCAACAGAGCAGCTGGAACGCACCTGCAAGCGATGCGACTTGCAGTGTGCGTCAAGCAGATGCACTACTGCTTTTCCATTAGGCGCGCGTCCACGCAGTGAAAGGCTGGCCCCTCGGATGCCACATCCCTGTACCTCGGCATCTTCGCCCCCATTAAACGCGACGATATTCTGAGCCACTGCGAAGGTCCACTTCCCCCGCCGGAGTCATGGGCTGATGCCATTTGCTTTGGGATTTGCTGAAGTTTGCGCGTGGCGGCGCCAAGGCGTTGGGCTTGACGGTTTGTGGGTTCCTGCGCGAGTTGCAGGTGCGCTGCGCGTGACATCAACCGCGCCTGGATGATTAATGCGTGCGCCACGGCGCAGCGTAAACTGATGAATATGTCGGAGGCGGTCTGGGCTGCCATTTCTTCTGCTACATCGCCCGTGAGTTCTGGGCGCTGCATCGGGCGAAGCTGTGTGATGTATTCATCCTGAGCTAGCTAGACATAGCCACCCTCGGTCTTACTAGTGTAGCGCAGGGCGCAAGTGGTGTAGCAATGTTCGTTCAGCTTGCGTGCGCCGATCGCATGTCCCACGTATGCGACGTACTTGTCACTCGTGCTCTCCACTCCTGCCATGCCAACGCCGTGCTTGTCTCGTATTCATCGCACGGCGTAGGTTTTAGCCCGCATCCTCGCGTGATGGTTCTGAGCTTCAGTGAGAATGCCTGAGGGGCGCATTTGGCACCTGCGCGTGGCCCCAAACACTGCAGACAGCGCTTTGACCCGTCATGGGACGAAAAGCTGGGCAATGCGCGTAGCACCGGGGCTAAACCAGGTGGAAAAGGAAAGCAGGACAGACGCTCCTTCTCTCCAGCGGTTTCTGCCAACCAACGAGAAGTCTGACCTTGTAAGAAAGCCTCATCGATGCCCATGGGTGCAATGATTCTTCGTTTGTTTTTGTTTGCACGCGGCCGCCCTGGCGAGGAATCTCTGGCTCGCCGAGCCGTGCCTGAGAAGATTTCTACGTCGAAAGCTTCGACGCCCATAAAATCACTAAGAAAAAAGTGTTTTCGCATAGTTCGTTGCATGTCGCGTTGTCGCGGTTGCCACTTGCGCGCGTAACTAGAGGCCACGATATTTGCAACATTCGTGATGCCCTGCATCTTGAAACATGTGTTAACAGAACTTTGGATATTCTTATCGGGTTAGCTTGAAATTCTGCCTTCGCCAGGAGGTCGTCTTCCTTGGCGACCGCGACTCTTTCAGCTGCGGCTGAGACATGCACGTGCATTGTGGTTACCTGGTCGCTGCGTAGCGACTCGCATTGTTGCTCTGACAGAACAACCATAGTCATGTCAGCAGCGGAGGATCGCTCAATATACTGACCGTGGTCATCCGAATCAAAATCGTACGTCTTGTCGCATTTTCAGGTACAAGGTACCGGCAAGGTTTCGTCGGCATTATGGTTCCGAAACTAACCTGGCCCCCGCAAGTGTCCTTGCTTTTTTCTGGCCACGGCCACGAGCAGGCGGATGACTGCAACCATCTCGGTGGGCACAGAGCACATGGGTCTCCCGTGAGGGGGTCTCGAGCAGTTTCTCTTCTTCTTGGAGCTTGCATACAACGTTTCCATGATGTGTGCTTACACATCCATTTCTGGTTCTTCAGCAATATGGTCGGTCGCCCGCCGCCAAGTGAGGCCGGCGCTGGAGATCGATCCTCCCCTTGGGCGTGGCCGCCCGACGCTGGCGTGCCCGCCAGGTCCTTAAACTTTGAGAAGTCCTCATCAAAGCCTGCTAAAGGTTTTGATGGCTCTGAGAGCTGGATGGCCCGCGCGCGCGGATTCGAAGCGGCGCAACCCCGGATTCGAAGCAGCGCAACCCCAGCGCGACGTCGTTGTCATAATACACCAGGCCACCGCTATCCGCGCAGGGAGCTGCCAGTCACCCGTGGGCGCTTCCAGCCAGACGCACCGCTGCAACGTTCTCTATTCTAAAGCAGTTTATGGTCAGGAACTGCAAGACAACATGTGCTTTGGGCGAGAGACGCCTCGCTGCAGTCATCCGCGAGCTCCCCTGCGCTGTCGGCGAATAAAGACGACGGCAGGTTTCCCCGCAGGCAAGCTCGCGATGAAAAGGCCACTGCTGTTCGCATTGCCGTAGTATCCGAGCCGATCTCGCGGAATAGCAATACTTCAAGATAGAATGCGCGTCGCAAATTTGGACATTGCACCGAGACTTCCCGACCGACGACCTGCGAAACTGCCCGGCCACGGCCAGGATAGCTACGGGCGATGGGGCATGGGCCGTTCCATCCACCCCAATCGTCCACGGCAGTGGTCGGACGGTGGTTGCGTGCGAGATCCCCTGGCTGATAGTTTTGGTGCCCCGCTGCAGTCGTCATTCTGCGTGGGGCCCTGTTGGTTCTAGCTCCTGCAGTGGCTTGCGTAGTGGCCTCAATGCTTATGTCACTGACCCTCTGTTCTCGGTTGTGATCGGAGGTTTCCGCCCCCCGTTGGTAGCCCAGTATCCTTCGGGATGGATTTGGCGGCATCATTGTTCAGATCACGTTCGCCGTCGCAACGCAGCGCTGTGGCTGGGGCGAACTGCATCCAACAGCTGTAATAGGCGTCTAACGCCGCATTCGTCGCCCTGTCGGCAATCTCTTGGCCCGCAGCCAAACGAATGCATCGATCGATGATGTGATGCGCGATCTGTCGCTTGTAAAACATTAAGTCACACTCGACTGTTTCGTTGAATTTGCCAGGGGAGTTATTCAAGGCACAGCGGAATTACCTGGTTTCTCCCAGGCTCTGCACTCACGGCATAAGCCCACTACGCGCGACATAATTGCTACTAGAACTCCTACGCGCGACAGACGTGGACGCATCTTTGGTTCAGAATAGTTGTGCCAGTGTAAGTGGGGCTTTCGTAACTCTTTTAGCACGGTGGTCGGATCGTAACCTCGTAGGTTTTGAAGGCCTATCTGAGTGTCACGTGGCCGTGCTTTCGCTGGGGACGGGGGAGGAGGCGGCGCGGCGCCGCTCTCCGCTCCCCTTTCGCCCGCGTCGTCCTGTGGCACGCGGGGGGTGAGGAAGAGCTGCCAAACCCAGAGCCACTGTGTGCGCCTCTTGTCATGTCGTAGATGCTAGCGCCCCCATTTGGGTCTTGGGAATGTATACGTGCGGATGGAGGTGCGCGTGGCCGAGCTTCCCCCAGGGGTCTCTGTCGAGCTGGCGGAAGCTCTGCCGGTGCAAACACCTGCTCAATAATCCATCTGGTGCCGCTGCTGGCGCAGCAGCAGCAGCAGGTGCAGGTGCAGGTGCCCCTTCCGCCGGTGCTG